TTAAACCCTTTCAATCTTATTGCTCCTTTTAGTTCTTGGTTACTAATATCCAACTTAACAATTTTATTTCTTTCTTTGCCTTTATTATCTTTATCAATTTCTCCTAAACATTTACTTTCTTTAGGGTATTCCTTATCTAACCATTTCTGAGCATCACTATCATGAAACTCTTTTCAATCTTTTAGTTTGTCCGCAAAATTTTTACCTTCAAAAGGATTTAATTCTTCGTGGATATCACTAACTTTGGCTTTGGTCTTACCAGTAGAAGAACAGTCAAATTTATCAATGCTTTTTGGTAAATACTCTCAACCACTATCTATATCAGTATTACTAATGTCTAATTCTGCCAATTTATTCAAGTCCTTTAAAGGCTCCAAAGAACCAATAAAACGATTATAAATGCTGGGTTCAATTTTTTTTTGATCATGATTACCAACTCGCAATTTTTCTAAATTAGTAAACTTACTGAAAGTTGATAAATCTTGTTGAAAGAAATTATTATCCGACAAATAGCATTCTCTTAGTTTTTCGGAATTTTCTAAAGAGGCAATGCCTTCTAAATTAGAAAGTAAATTACAACTGACATCCAAGTATCAAAGAAATTTTAAACCGGTTAGTTTTAAACTAGTGAGTCTGTTATTACGGCAATTCAACCATTCTAGATTAATAAAATCGGTTAAGTCTAACTCTTCTTCTAACTCCTTGTTGCTAATGTCTAGCCTTGTAACATCACTCCTTGTTTCTTTAGGATAATTTTTGTCTAGTCATTTTTGGCTGCTGAAAGATTTTCGTTGCTTGCCAAGTTCATCTTTTAATTCATTATTATTTTGCTCCAAGTATTGTTCGGGAACTTTTCCTTTTTCTTTTAGGTATTGAGCAAACTCAATATCTTTAACTTCTAAGCCAATATTTATTCATTTCTTACTTTCTTCACAATCAAATCCTTTTTCTTTTCATAATTCTTGTAACTCTTGCAATATTATCACTTCTACATCTGAATCAATCTTGTCATTTTTTCATTCTTCTAATTCAAAAATTTCATCGGGTTGATATCGGATAGTATGATTATTATAATCACCAATTATTGATTGTAAAAAACGAAGAACACCTTCGCTTTGGAAATAATCACCCTTAGTTATTTTTTGGCTATCCTGAAGTTTGCCTATTATAGTGTCTCAATTACTTTCAATCTTATCATTTTCATTAATGTCTTTTATTTTTAAGTTTCCTCTATCTGTTGATAGTATTTCCTCAGTATTCGTGTATTCTTTAAATTTTTCTAATATCTCTT